GGAAGAGCTGGGTTCCTGATTTCTTCTTCCTCAAGGATTTCCACCTTGTGTGTCCCTTAGGAGCTGTATGAAAAAGCTTCCCAGGAGGTCACAGGACCCATCAGCTCAGCTCACCAGTGGGTGAACATGAGTGATGTCTCCGTGGAGCTCAATGCCACACACACGGTAAGAGCTCCCGGGACGCAGGCATAAGGAAGGAAGAAATATTATGTTCTCATAGCAGGATTTGGCACGCCGAGGGGAACTGGTTTTAAAATATCTCTCTCTCATATTTTTTTCCCTTTCTGATTAAGGTTAAAACATGTAAACCAGCCTTAGGACACAGCTTTGCTGCAGGGACTATTGATGGAGTGGGGGCTTTCAACTTCACACAAGGTAATTTAGGGAGCAGATATCTATATGGCTCCGTACAAATAAGGAGGACATGGGGCATCCCCCAAATAGATTCAAACCCCCCGTGTCATCTGAGAACATCAAAGGCTGGTTGAATCACAGTCTCCGAAGGGATGTTTTTTTAGGAAGGTGTGATCTTACAGTCCCCTTGCAAGTCTGTCTGTGTTCATCAGAAATCTTCTGGAGAAGGATATGGCCATGCTCTGAAGGAAGGAGAGCACTGGCTGGGGAGTGGGGAGAAGAAAGAGCTGTCTTTGGGGCAATCCTTCCCATTTGTTCTCATTACTCGAACGCTGCCAAGACGGAGCTCAGTTGGGCTAAAGCTCGGCTTCTCACACCACCCCAGCAAAGGGACAGTCAGAATCTGCTGAGAAGTATCCTATCCCACATAAGCAGGGAGGGGGCAATAAATGAGTTTTCTGTGTGATAGCTGCTGGGGCAGCTGAAGGAACAGCATTTAAAAGATGTTTCCCCCTCAAGGCTCCATAGAAGGGGATCCATTTTGGGATGAAATCCGGGACCAGTTGCTGGGAGAGCCGTCCAACGAAACGAAAGCCTGCCACAGTCCCAAGCCAATCCTCTTTAGCACCGGAGAGGTAAGGACACACTGGTGTGTGCCCTGGGAAGTGCCGAGATTGCTGATCTGGGCTGGGTTTTGGTAGAGCACTACAGACAGTGTCCATGCCAGCCCATATGGTGAAGAACAAGGAGGGAGAGAGAGCTGCATGGGCTTTGAAGGCATGAAGGTAGAAGGCAAGAATAAGTGTTGTCATTAGCTTGCAGCAGAATAAGAGAGGTGGAAGTTCTCCTCTTGCAGAGAATCTTTTCCATATACCCCAGAAGGAGGGACCAGACCCACTGCTCTGATTAGGGCCAAAAAACCTAACTGAAGATCCACTCTGGCCTAATTCTCTGCCAGCGAAACAGCCCTGAGCAGGAGGTACAGGGAAAATGCATGAGGTCAGGGAAAGCCAAGGGTGCGTGGAGCTCAGCGTTGCCTCCCAGCAGTCTCTGGCTTCAGGACATCCTTTGCTGATGCCCAGAGCTTAATAGCTCTGGGTGGATTTTTCTTCCATCCTACCATTGGTTTCCTACCTTGATCCATGAGACGACTTTTCTTTTTGTCCTGTGGCAGACTGGTCCATGCAAAATGAAATAACTTGTCATGGTGCCTTTTAGAAGCTCTGGGGACTGTATCAACTTACCCACCTTCTCAGTGGTGCCTTCAAAGGTTTCTACCAGGCTTTGACTTCCTCGGGAAACGTTCTGTTGACTTCTCTGCTTTTCTGTCGTGCTTATGCAACTGTCTGACGGTTCTGTGAGCTCTAATATCGACTGATGCCAGACTTACTCATACTCGGGTAGAATCGCCCCAGGCTCAGGCTGGAGGTACCCTGGGGTGGGGGTCTCCAGCCTGACACCGCTCCCAGCAGGGCCAACGCCGCAGCTACAACAGGTTGTTCAGGGCCGTGGCCAGGCGAGTCGGGGAGGTCAGCAAGGATGGAGATCCCCCACTGCACGGGGCCCCATCCCAGGCGTGCCCCGCTCAGGCACGGAAGGGCTATTTCTTAGGGCCAGGCTCTGCCAAGCTGCTGCCCCATGGGTCCCAGCCCATCCCCATGCTCAGGGCTGCTCTGTCCTGGGCAGGACTTGGTGTTTGTTCTTACTGAACTTCCCCCAGATCCTACTTACGACTTCAGAAGAAAACTGATGCCCCGTGTTCCACCTGCTCTTGCCTTGGCATGAAGGCTAATGCAGTGTAGTGGAGCGGGGCCATGCCCAAAGCCCTTCAGAGCACTTCGAGGCTGCCGTCTGGATGAGGTGATTTGTTGCTGTTCATTAGCCTCTTCAAAAGCTTCCCTACCGTCGCTTTGTGTTCGATCAGCTCCTCACCTCACCTTGCATAAAAAGGTCCCAGCACAAAGCCTCCTCCCACTCCGCCTCCTCCATCCAGGGTGGTGCTGCTGAGAAGAAATTACACTTTATTCTTACAACTTCATCACCTTCTGAGCATCCTTCTACGGATGCTCTGGCAGGCCTCCTGCTTCTGATGTGCTTCACAAGGTTTTGCCATTCATGTTTTGCCCCCGGTAAATTGCTCCTCAAAAGTCATTTTGGCTTGTTGGAGTGGGAGTTTTGCATTTCGTTTGCTGGAGCCCTGTCACCCTTGAGGTCTTGTTCTTAATTTTGTTTTAACAGGCTTCATCATTTTTATCTAGCTTTTTTTTTTTTTTGCCTTTTTTTTTTTGAGATGAAATGCTGCGGTAGCGTGTGTTTTGGCTGCTGCGACGGTGCCGAGGCTGAGTGCGGTGTGGTCCCTGCTACGGGGCGGTTTGAAGTCAGGGCTAGGTGGAGGGTTCCCTGAGCATCACCCTCTGGGTGACTTAGAAACTCTCCCCCTGCACCACGTCCGACGGTGCATTTGCTCAGCTAACGAAGAGGAAACTCTCCTCTCCCATCGCCACCGCGCGCTCCGATTCCGCTCCTTCGCTTTCGCTGTCCTGGTCAGATGCTCAGCCTCGCGGATCCTAACACGAGCCTGTTCCCGCGCAGGTGAGGGGTTTCCAGGTGCTACCCTGACTTTATTTACCCACTTTGCTTTAAGCTACCCCTCCGGCAACTCCTGTTTTTTCGCCTGGCCCGTAGTATTTACGTGTGCCGTATCTGCCTGCTGTGGTCAGACAGCTTGCTGTGCATGTGGAGGTAAAACAATTTCTCACGTGCCCGTCTACAATTTACATTTATTTGCCTGATTTATGACTGTAGGAAGGAAAATGCTTCGGCTGTCTTTTTTTGGTTATTATCCTACAATGTCATATCCACTTTTTTCCCACCGCAGATGACTCGGCCTCACCCGTGGCACCCCGACATCGTGGATGTTCAGATTGCTGCCGTCGGATCGCTGGCAATCGTTGCTGTTCCCGGGGAGTTCACGTATGTATTTCTTTGGTCTTGTTCTACGCATTGCAGCTGGCAACGTTTCGTTCCAACTACCCGCAATAATTCTGCCTGCAGGGAGAAAGGCTAAAAATCGTCCCAAATACGTGCTAGCTGTGCTGGCACTACACGTATATGTCCACTGCATGTAGTTACTTGTGTACCGTCTCCTCTGGTTCCCCGGGGTTTCCCGTTTTCTTCTCGGTCCTGTAAACTATCCATGGGAGTGAACGAGCTGCGAACGAGCTGCAAACAAGCTTCCTAAGCAGCTTCAACTGTTCCTTGCAAAATGCAGGTTCGATGAAAAGGAAGGAACTTGTTAGCTCTGACTTCTCTGTTTTTTTCCCACGCCACCGACACTGGAAGGATGAATTGCACTGCCTGTCGACGGTGAAAATCTGAGTAGGATAATGATTTATTCCTAGCACCTTCTCCTACCCCACCCCGCCGCGGGGTGCCTCCAGCCTCACCCTGGCCGTGATGGGGTGTGTGCAACGTTTTGAGGCGTTTTGGCGTTGGAGAAGCCCCAGGGGATGCTGAGCGGCGCTGCGAGCGCTGTGTGGGTGTCCGGTGGCGTGCTGGGCGCCCGGCCAGCGGCTCCTGCTTTAGCTCCTGCCTTTCTGGAGACTGATGTCGTTCTCGTAATGCCCCTAGGACCATGTCTGGACGCAGGCTACGGGAAGCTGTTAGAAGAGTAAGTCGCTGAGGAAGAGGTTTCTCCAGAGCGCAGCATATCTGGAACTTCGCGTTTCTTGATCCTGCTGGTTTTTCCCTTGTCTCCTCCCCGCTGGGGTCATGGGTCTCACGTCTCACAGACGTTTCCTTCTCACAGTTGCTTCAGAGACACATTTTGCCCGTGGTTACTGACATGCAGGAGGAATTAATATCTTCCCCCAAAGCAGCAAACCGATCAAATTTCAATGCATTAAGCCAACACAAGCTAATTCAGCTGGGGTCCAGGCATAACTGACGCTAGCAGGAGTTTTGTCTCCGGGACGGCGTGGGTTTAGCTTCTTAATCCCTACCAGGATTTCGCAACATGAGAACAATTGAGAAAACATGGCAAATGTATTTTTTCCACTTTCCCCACTGATACATGCGATTCTCAGCTGCCGCCTGAATAGCATCTTAAATCTCCACAACACTGAGCCTGTCTCACATAGCTGTATCACCAATTTTTTTAGGAGTAGACAGACATCAGATTAAAAAAACCCCCTAAATTTATTGAATTTACTGGAGTATGAGGTCATTTCTCCTCTTTTTCTTTGAGAAGTGAATAAGAGACATTAATAAAGGCAAATTAGGCTTTTAGAGTTGCATTCCTGAACATCCAGCCCCTCCCCCCCCCCCAAGCTTTGTATTCTGTCCTGGGTAATAATAGTAATAATGATAATAACAACAACAACAATGACAACAATATAATTGTGCGTTAAGTAGTTGTTACAAGATAAGTGATTCATTTCCTTTCTTAGGAATTTGATTCTCATGGTAGACCAAGAATGGATGTCATAATTGCAGGTCTGTGCAATGTCTACACCCATTACATTACCACCTATGAAGAATACCAGGTAAATATTAAAATTGCGGATTGAACACATTTAACCGAGTTCAGCTTTTGGCTATATGGGATGACAATTCATGTGAAATTGTGTATGTTTAGAGTACTCCTCCTTTGCCGCAAAAAGCTGAAGAGTCTGTGGTAGAAATCATGAGACCTCCTTGTTTATTCTGGCCTAGACGACACGGTCCAAGGGCCAGTGTGGTTTCCTGAGCGTAGCTAGAGAGCACGTATGGATGCTTTAATGTGGAAATGGTCAGATGTACTGAAGGAAGTTCAGATCTATTTTAGCAATCTTCTGGTGACTTGGATGAATTAGAAATTATCTTCATAAAGTGGCAAAATTGCCAGAAGAAAGATTTGGAGCTGTAAGGTCATAAGGTCAACATGAATTGCAGTGCCATGTTGCTGTGGAAAAGATGGCAATACAGCTTGCAAGACCCGGTTTTAAGGGTCCCCACAAGGCATGGCAGATGCTGGCCTGTAAGGAAGATGTGGACCATCGGATGGACTCCTGGGGTTTAGAAACCCTAAACTGGGAGGAAAGGTTGGAAGAACTGGGGTTGTCCAACCCAAAAAGTTGGAGAGGAGGTGACCTACATCGTAAGCTTTTAAAAGAGCAAAAGAGCTGTGATAACTGGAAGAGTGACAACCAGTCCTCCCTGTTTGCAACAGGTTGGAGAATGAAGAGTAACCTGAAATTGCGGCAGAAATATTTAGGCAAGTTGTCGGGCTGTCGCCCTAGCAGTAAGGGAGTAAACCAACCCCCGCAGGTATAGCGCTGATCTTGTCTTGGCACAGTAGGATGAGCTGTATAAACTGCTCAAGAGTCCTTCAAACCCTCTTTTTCCAAATTTGTCCTTTGCTAGGTTCAACGATATGAGGCTGCATCAACTATTTACGGGCCGCACACGCTTTCTGCTTATATTCAGCTGTACAGAGGACTTGCAAGGGCTATTGCTACGGTAATCAAAATTTTCTGTATGCCACATGCTGCTAGAGACATTTAAATCCTGTAAAAGGTGATGGCTATATTTGTTCCTCAGCGAGGGTGTGCGATTGCTACCCTCTCTTTTCTCATAAGAAACCGTTTTGAGAAATTCTCATGTGGTATGAAAATAATTCCTGTCATGGGGCTCTCATACCACTTGAGAAAATATGGGGGTTTTTTGGTTCAAAGTTTAGGAAAAAGGTACCTCCAATCTTTCAGCATGGCCTGAAGTTGCTGCTTTTCTACCAAGAGGGGAAAAAAACCTGGTACATTTCTGCTGTACACGGCAATGTTCGTCACCGCCGTATCTGTGGACCATGTGAATATGCAGGACCAGTGGGTGGGCGCTGCCTCCTGAAGTCATGGGATATGCTGGCAGGTGGATTTGGGGGACCTCAGCAACTGGGCAGCGGGATTGCTGTCGGGATTGCTCCTGCATGCAGAGCACAGATGAAGATCCTCTTGTTTGTTTTTAAGCTCACTTTATTGCCCTTGTTCTTAAAATCTACCTAAGGCAATGGCCTTGGACAAAGAGCCACAGAAGTGACATGATTCATCAGGGACATCCTGGTTATCTGCATGTATGTAAAATGAGCACATCTTCCCTCTCCCAGAACACAGTTCAGGATTTGCCGTGTGGTCCAGAGCCCCCAGTTTTCAACATAGGTAACATGACCATGGTGCCTCCTCTCGCTGCCGATCGCGTGCCGGCAAATAAGGCATTTGGGGATGTGCTACAAGAAGTCAGACAACAGTATCGAGAGGTGAGAGCTTCAAGGATTTGCTAAAACCTGTTTAGGAAATCATCTTTAAATCCTTACCCCTCATCTGAGAAGGTCTATGTTTTCTAAAGGGACATGGTGTTCTCAGCCCAAGAAGGTCTCGTTACTCTTAGTGGTCGTGGTTGAAAGGGCAGAGACAGAGTGTTTTCATGCCAATGTCATTGTACTGAACATGATTAAATGGGTGAATGAAAGGGAAAATAAAAGCCCTTTATTCAACATGAAGAAGATTTCCCCTTCTGCTTCGACATAAAATAACAGTTGATGATTAAATAGGCAAATATTGTACAGTGATTCCTGTACAAGCAGAAGTCAGGTCACCTTTGATGCCTCTGGTATGGAATGTAAATGAGATAAAAATGCCAGAAAGGGTTCAGTTTTCAATGCCTAAAATTTAGATATGGTGTTCAGAGCAAGGACTTTCATCTCATTGTTGTCTCCAGCAGTAAGGTAGGACAAAGGCAGGGAGGCACCCTTAAAAATCTCACCGATTTCCTTCCCTCTTTTACACAGAAATCTTATGTGCTATGGTGGAGTTTATCCAGCAAGCAGGACAAGTGGAATAACAAGGCACAGAATACCAGTTCACAGTTGTCCATTGTTATTGCAACAAGTGAAATTATAAAGAATTTAATACAAAACCAAAAAAACTACAAAAAACAACTACCCATTAAAAAACTCATATGGGGTCTTCAAAGGATGTTCTTAATGTGCAATATGCTGCTTGGGTGTTTAATACAAATCTCAATTTCCTTCACAGAGGGAAGTTGCTGAAGTAACTTTTGTAGGTGCAAACCCCAGGAACTCTGCAGAAAATGCGGTAAATATGACGCAACAACTTTGGAATTGGGGATGTTGGGAATTAGTGAATATTTAGTTACTGTCTCTGCCTGATGCATTTCAATCTTTGACGTTCAGGTTTCAGGAGAAGTAAGACTGGGTGCTTCCAGCACTTCTTTTCTTTGCTGGGAGTTCAGAGAAGTTTCTCTCTTTAGCGTCTGCTTTGGGAGTTCACAACACCAGAATGCTTTTGGGGCAAAGTCTTTAATTTGGTCAGATATGGATCATTCATGATCTCTTCATACTATTGAAGTCGAAGGTGCCAATGTCGTGCGTTAGGCACTCTTTCTCTGTCGGTACCCAGTGCCATCCCGTCGTAGCAAGCATGGTCTCTAGTCTCCATCCTATCAGCTCAGTGCCTTATTTTAATAAAACAAAGAAAATTTAAAAATTACTTAATCTGTCCCATCACTCATCTTGCATAGACATTGATAACAAATACCACACCTGTCCGTTCTCTTTTTAATGATCAAGTTCTTTACTTGTTCTCTGCGTCATTTTTTAGCTTAAATTTGTGCTTTGTCAGTGAAATATAAGCTTTTTTGCTAGTAATTACTGCATTTGCCAGTAAAGCACACAGAAGCATAGTCCCTTCTCCAGCTTAAAGTGGCACAGAAAAGTAGGGACATGCCTGTCCCTTCAGTGCCTGGATAATTCTCTTATTTTTATTCCAGACTGAACACAACTTCCTGACGGTGGAGAGATACACCAGCACTTCAGACAGCTGGCACGTGGTACAGAACGATGCCTCCTGGGACACCAGGTGGGTGCCCTGGCCAGATTTCACTGTTCCACAGACTCCACGGCGTAATTCAGGTTTAAGCTGAAGGGCTTCATTTCTGAGCTCCCAACCGTAGGTTGGTCTTGTCCCTGCAGGTGATGCTCTCTGGGGGCAGATCAGTCTATATTTGGATGGTTAACTTCTCAAGACCACAACAATCGGTCTTCCCCTTGGGTCTACCTTCTGCAGTGAAGGCTTATAAGTTTGGGAAAGGTAGAAGAGCAAGAATTACAGAAGATTTGTGGTCCAACTCTGTCATAGCCTATATCCATCCACCTGCTGTAGTGTGCTGGTGAATAGGATACCGAATAGAAAACACGAGAGCCTCACCGCAGCAGGGCTTTCATCGGGAAAATCTGGCCAGATTTGCTGTGCATCATAAAGTAGAAACAGTCAACAGTTTTAAAAAAGATTGTAAGAAAACAAAGTTAAGGTTAGAGGTGTCAGCCTTAAGGACAAATATCCACCAAGCAGCGCTATCCATCTAGCGCCTTTCGGAGCTAGACCATAAGGCAGCACACAAAAGATGCCTTTGGTATTCCTATTTTGTTGAACCATTCGGTTTCAAGTTACTTCTTTGTTTAAATAAAACCAGACATTTTCCCACCTGCTTCTGCCACCTATCTGTGAGAAGCCGGACCCCGAAAAACATCCATCTTGGGGTCTTCTGACCTTGCAATGTCCCAGTGCAAACACGTAACATCCGAGGTCAGAGAGGTAACGTTCCTGACAGCTTGGCTTCATCGGGAAAGTCTTCCTCTGGATTTATAATGAGCGTTTGATAGGGCGTAATGCTCTCTGCCCAAGTGCAACCAGCTGCTTTCTAAAACTAATCCAGTGGCCAGGACTCTGTCCCAACACGGGAGATGTATTCCTACCTGCACTTGGGGCTCTGCATTTCTAAGTGCTTGCCCTCTGTTTAACGCTTGCGCTATGTCACCTTGTCGCTCTTGTTGGTGTCACCCTTTCCAGTCAAGTTCCCTCTTTGAGTAAGGGAAATAATGGCATTTTCTCACCCATATGCTTAAGCCCTTCTTCCCTTTGGAAAGGAAGAACCCAACAGATTTCCCAAAACCTCGTCCAGGAACACAGAAAATGTTTTATAACACATCACTTGAGAAGATGAAAAACACATACAAGTGCAAAACTTGAAGAATGTGCTGCCATTGATGCTGGAAAGACGGGAACCTAGACATCTTCTTTTCCTTCCTGAGAAAGGTCAGGCTTTGGATCTCTGAACGATGCCTAAATACTTCTGCTGATAAGGAAGAGGAGCTGTTTGGCCTTTTCCTGCCTAAAGGGGCTGGCCAGAAGGCAAACCAATGCAGAGGGTAGTGTCTCCCTTCCTGGTGCCCCAGGAAAGCACCAAACACCACAAGAAAGGGGAAACGCTTCTGTTAAGATGAAAACCAGCCACTTTTTACAGTATCGGTGTGTTAGCTTTGAAATGTCAGTGATTCAGGTGATGGGGACAGGAGGCATCAAACATTCTTGCTAGATGTTAGTGGAGTCAGACTGTGTTTGTTTCAGCACAGGAAAAATGAACATGCGCTACCGTTGAACGTGCTGACGTTGCAATAGGAGACCAGCACAAGGGAACGCATTATTTGTTAGCTTAGTGTTGCAAGGCGTTAAATAGCTTAGAGCCGCATTTGTAAAATGCCTGTTTTCAGGGATCAAAAGATAGGAAGGTTTACTTAAGGGAGGTGCAGCTTTCGGGGAGGAGATAGCTGTTATCTGCCCCGTGCTCGCTATCAGCAGGGACAAATTCAGTGCAGACTTGCGGCTTGGCTGGATGCTGTCTTGGTGTTTGCGGTAGAGATCTGCTTGGCCGCACCCTGCGTCTGCCCTGAGGGCAGTAATGGCTTTTTTGGGACTGTTTAGGAGGAGGGGCCGAGCTGCAGGCAGGAATTTGCCTGGCCCTGCCTTTAGCAAAGAGCCAACAGAGATAAGACATGGTTAAATCCCCATGAGCTCATCTGTGAGAAGCCTCTTCCCAGGTGGGATCTGAGCTACGTTCCAATTCCCAAGTCCCAGAGTGGTGGTCCTGCTTCACTGAGCCTGAAGGGCAGGGTGGGGAGGAGGCTGGATGGTGGCACAGATCTCACAGCAGCATTTTTAGGACACAGCATTACAGCCAGGCTCAAGGCTGCAGGTCTCTGGTCCAGCCCAGCTCCCAAGAGGGCCAGCATCGCAGCTATAGCTATAGCAGGTTACGTGGGACAATGTCCAAGCCAGTCGGGGAGGTCTCCAAGGATGGAGATCCCCCACCACTTAGGGCCTTGTGTCACCTCCCAAGACAACATGGTCTTTGTCCCAAGACAAGCCAGTGCCATCCGCAGCCAAAACCTTGGTCTAGAGCAACCAGGTGGATACATGGGCCCTGTGTCAGTCTGTGGTCTCTGTTTACCAAACCAAATTTCCCCCATCATTCCCTGCTTTTCACCCAGTTAAGTCTGTAAATATTTATTCCAATCTTCTCAGTAAGACCGGTATGGGGAAACTTTTTACTACCATTGCCAATGAATCAATATGTTTGTTCATCTGTTTTCCTTCAGTTAAAGCCCTGAGATGGGGGTACTATCTCAGTAGGGCTTGATAACTCTCATGTCTGGCCGGGATGCAACTGGGGGGATATCCAGCAGTGTCCCTCATTGGCAGTTTGATACAAGAAGAGCAGGTTAATCTCCTTCATCTCCCCAGGAAGTGCTCCATCACAGCTGGCTGAAAAATCCCTTGCCCCTGGGTGGTGTGTGGCTGTCCGTAGAGTTTTGAGGTTGAGCAGAAGTGGTTTTGCACAAGGAACATGCAAAAGAAAATGGGAGTCTGTTGTGGAAATGGGTGCCAGAAGCCCTGAGCTCGATGATGATAGATTTTGCTTGTGACCTTCAATAAATATTCATCCTCTTGGTTCAGCATTCCCCTTGTGCAGGGAAGATTAAGCTGACGATTATTGCTCACAGAGGTAAGTTGTATGGGGTTAAGATACGGAGTTGAATGTAAGAACATGTTGGTAGAAATACTATTCACCTGCAGAAAGGACCACTGACTTGTTTTTCCACGTTTCCAGATATTTTTCAGCCCTGACGGGTTTTGGATTGGCTTGTTGGTTGCTGCTCTGATAGCCTAAATATATGAGGAAAGGTTAAAAGAAGCTCTTAAAATATACTTCACTGGAGTGCTGGAGCGTATCCATCTCATTCCACATAGTGAGCTCTTGGGATATTAAAACAAATGAAAAGTAGATTTTCTTGCTGACTGCAGTTTTTGGTTTGTCTGCTAGGTTTTACTGGACCAAAGGATTACTTGGTCGGAGCAACGTGACCATTGAATGGCATATCCCATGTGGCACAGAGCCGGGCATCTACAGGATACGGTACTTTGGGCACTACAAGAAAAAACTGTCTAACAGTCACGCTGTCTCTATTCCATTTGAAGGCACATCTTCAGCGTTTGAAATCACAGCTCTGTAGGCGACCTCGTTCATTAAAGGAATTGTTTCCTTTGAGCAGTAGATTTGATATCTGCGATGTTCACAATGCACAACTGGGAGGTTTTTTGTGGCATATGTGACTCTATACATCATCGCTGTCCCTTGTGTGCTGTCGGTCACCCTTTGCTGTGCAAAGCTCAACTTCCTGCAAAGTTTTGACTTTTACCTGGAATTCAGTATCACTAGTCCAATGTATTCTTATTCAGGCGGTTCCCGACCGGGTCAGATCTCGTTGCAGTTGATTCTTATTGTAACAAAAGATGCAACTCTTTTTCTTTAGTCATTAAACAAGTGCTTACTGATTGTGAATGGCCTCTCTCGGAGAGAATCAGTATATATCAGGAGCTAATCCAGACCATAAAATAGTCCATAAAATTGAGCCCAGTCCATAAAGCTGGAAAGAGCTGCTGAATTCACAAGGCGTCAGAAGAGAAGACTCCTCAGTTGTGCGTGAAGTGCAAAGCTGACCTCTTAGCGTGGTAAAGGCATAAATAGGATAGATACTCATCAGAAAGGTCTGAATATTCTTTCATTTAATCATTCTGGTTTAGGGCATTTGGAGGAGTCATTCCCTGAGTTAAAAGCCAGTATAGGCTACAGGTGGTGGTGGGGCAACAATGTCATATGAAGCGAATTGCACATAGTTCTCCATAAATCAATGGTCTTGGTTTCACAGGTGCCTGATGAGAGTGGCTGTATAGGGTCCTACTTCAGAGGTCTTGAGTGAGGAAAGAAAGGTCAGTCACTTGCAAAATAGAATATTGAAGCAGTTGGCAGGTTTTTTCCTGCTAGAGTGTGTTATTTTCTTTCACAAATGTCACTTTTGAACTGACCAGTGTGCCAGATGGGCTCAGTGCTGCCCACCACGTGTGGGTTTGAGTCATTTCAAGCAGTTGCTGGGCAAGCCTTTGGAAGAGAAGCCCTCTGAAGGAAGTCAAATAATTACAAGTGGCCCAAGAAACTACAGATGGGCTGGAGGCCACTGAGTGCCTGGAAGGACTACATATGTTTGCTCTGATTTTATGACCTGAAGCCATCATGCATCTGTGGCACAGCCCAGAGGCAGGATGCTGGGCGAGAAAGACTTGGGGGCTGACACTGTCCACTCTTCTTGTCCTTGTGTTAAGCTCCTGCCCAGCCCTCTGACCACAGTAAAGGGCAGCTGATGGCATTTTACCTTCTAAATATCGCTTTGGGGCACATCAAAAAGATCAGGAATAAGGATGCTTGCATGTGCCAGAGGTTGTTTCAATAAGAGGGTGTCATGGGAGGGCACTGGGGTTACACCAGGGGCCATATGCAGGGTGGGCATTTTGGGAGGGACCTGCTGGTGAGGGAGAACGTGCAGCTGCTGGCAAAAGGTGTCTGATGTCCAACCAGAGCAGGGCTGGATTTCATCACAATATACTGCAGATGGCAATCGGTAAGAATTGATTTTACAAATTAAAGCTGTGGGTCAGGCACCTCTGAACAGGCCTCATCCCGCTTCATTTTAGCATCAGGAAGGACACAAGGTGAGCAGGCTTTGGCTGGATGAAGGGCTGCCCAGCGCCGATGGCCAGAGCCTGAATCACCTACAGGTAGGTCACTAGAAGGGCTTGTGGTGCCCTTCCAACCCACATGAGAGATCAATGGAGGGTTCCATCAAAGCACAGAATGAAGACACCTTGAAGGGGCAGAAGGACAGTCCCAAAACCTGTTGGCTGAAAGAGTTTCAACACAGAAAATTCCCCAGAAAGGTAGAGTATATTCTGTGGGTTTCAGGAGCTGGGTGGACAAAGCCCTGACCACCTTGACCCAGTGCTGGAGGCAAGTCCCGCCTGAGGTGCCTCCCACCAGCGCTGCCGTGGGGTGCCGTACGCAGGGATGGCTCCGCAGTCCCCAGGTCTCTTCCAGCCTCCGTAAGTGGTAGATCCAGGGCCCGCAGGGAGAAGAAAATATGCCTTTCAGGTCTGGATTTAGGATTCTTGTAGTGTCTTACAGCTAAACAATTGTAAATGTTTAATAAGCTCCAACAACACGTACGAATTTTGTATGCAATCTCTTTAATTCTTCAGAGAATTGTCGGTGAGATAATTTTGCCTCCCTTTAAAATCAGTAGGAGAGAATGAATTATTCATTTTAAACCAGCTGCACTCAGGCGGAGAGATCCCCACCCGGAGGAGCTCAAAGCAATCGCAATATTGAGTCAGGAAAGAGAGAGCGTTGGAAGAACAGCACTGGGAATCGAATCCCTGAAGACGCTTTTCATGTCCTTTCTTAATAACTCACCCAGCCGCCCTGCTCTCCTCGGCAAAATCGGGATCCGGGCAGCAGCGGAGGATGCTGCCCCAGCATCTCGCTGTGCCATGGGGCAGGCTCGGTCAGTGCGGCGATGCTCAAGCTACGAAACGGTCCAGCAAGTTTCTTGCAAAGTTTTTCCCGCTTTTTCCCGGGTTTTCACGCGGAACCGTGCGTGGTGAAACAGGTCGCAGCCCCCTAAAACGGGGTCAGATCATTTTTATGAAAGAGGAGCTGCTTTCTGGTCGGAAATGGGGCTGCCTAATGATTCCCATATGACGCTCGCTCGCTCTCTGCTTGCCGTTTTTCTTACGCTGTATAAACTAGATATAAATTGCATAAATTGTATAAATTGCACGGGAGTGTTCCTGTTTTCCTAGAAGAAATACAACAGGAAAAAAGAAACAGGGGTTCATTTTTTCTCGGGCAGCACCGAGATGTTTTATTTGATTGTTTTAGATAATTTTGTTCGTGTTACTGCATTACACTAACTGTGGATTTTTTTTTAGTAGTGCTTGTACTGAACATGTTTATGCAAGCAAAACTGAAGTTTTTGGGGGAGTTTTTTGGAACTCTCCCTAATTTTTTTGCGTCCGGAAAATTCAGCAGCCCCGAGCGCCCCAACGTGAGGAAGGCTGTGACAGAAGCCCTTTGTTTTATTTGCTCCTTGAGAGCAAGGTGGCTGTCACCGGCTGCGGGCAGGGAGCGACGGACGGCCCTTCCCTCCTCCCTG